GCAGTGCAGGGTTCTGCTCTGGCACTCTCCCCCCGCTCCTCATTTTCGCCCCCTGCCTGGCGCTGGGCAGAGGATGGGGCAGGAGTATCCACTCTAGTATCTGCTTCACTCTCCACAGATATCCGCATCCACGGAAGCGGATATCCGCAGATATACAGAGCTGTAGTTATGGTCGGTATGTCCACAAAATTATGGGCCCAACTTATCCCAAATTATGAATCCAACCTCAGTACTTCTGTGGAGAAAGCCACATCAAAGCCATGTTTGGAAGGTTACCTCCTCCAGGATCATCTCTCTTTTGCTGCACACTGAGCGGCAAAATCCCCAAACAAAGTCTTTGTACTTCCATGAAAAGCAGGCCAACAGACAAATATTTAGAAAGGCCTAACCTATAACACAGTAGAAACCTAGGTATGAATGCACAGAGCTTGCACAGATCAGTGTGCCAGTCCCAAGCATTCAGAAATTTGATTAGGACTTTAAAAATCATAAGAGCATCTTAAAAATCATGTGGTATTTTAAAACCTGTTATCCAGCATGCTCGGGGATTATAGCATTACAGTTAACCAAAATTTTTAGATATCTGAGGGTTCCATCAACCTAGAAAAAAACAATGGACAATAATAGTAAAACTCAAATTTTGGTTATCTAATAATGTAAACTATATTGTAATCAACATAAACACAATGCTAAGGATGTATGGGACAACTGAACAAGTAAAATTTAGTCTTATGTTATTAAAAAGAAACAGTACTGTAATTATTTTTACCTAATAGGAAATGTGCTGGTTTCTAAAGTTTTCCGTATAGTTAAGTGCCAGATAGCACAGGTTTTACTGTAATACATTTTAGGTTCTACTTGTTTGCTTTTTCATTCTTTAGGGAGTCCTGTGTTTTCAAGCTTCTTTCTGCAACTATCAAAGCTAGAAATTACTTTTTTTCTTTCTTTTAGTTGAGTGTGCAAAGTCTCATGTACCTCCTCTGCCCCTGTTGTTGGGGCTTCAAGGAAAACACTAGATCTTGCAAGATTCAGAACTGTGAGAACTGGCATCGTCAAAAGCAACTCAGTTAACTTGAGGTTTCAAAGACAAGAATGAGGCAAAAAGACAACATGATCCCCAAGATGTGAGAATATTTTTTAATTTAAAACAATTGCAGCAATATATCATTAATATCCCTTCTCATCTCAAACAAATACTCCCCGAAATGTTACCAGTGCTTCAAGCAAACAATGCTGTATGGTGCAAAATAAATGATTACAAACATTTCCAGGACACAATAGAAAACCTCAAAAGATGTGGCAGGAATCAGAAATTGATCTGATCCACAAATGGGAGACAAGGTAGGGAAATAAAAAGGCATTTCCAGTTACAGCATGTTTTGCACAGTCTTTCAGTGTATCTGAAGACAGCAGAGAAAATAGAGATGGCTGCCATTGGGATGGAAAACAAAAGATACGAGTTGGAGGTCTGTTTCTAAAAGCTACAATGATCTAATACATCCATGTCACAAATTTGTACTGTACCCCCATGAGGTTGAAAGTTCTTAAGAAACAGGGCCTGAATTTGATTTCATTTACACCAGTGTAAATCAGGTCTAACTCAGCAGAGTTACTCCAGTGTGTAACTGGTAAAAAGGAAAGGAGAATCAGGTCCAAAGACTCCCAGACTGGCTGAAGGCTTTATTATTTTTCCTAATTAAGATTATACCCTAATTACATTTTAACCAGAAAGATAAAAGGATTTTATAAATCACATCCTACTTTTGCTTTGGAGAGAGGACCTGCACAGGGGATTCTATAGACTCCATTAGAAATAAAGCAATATTTAAAAGGATGGGGTGAGGAGGTTGTCAAACATTCTCCTTTTTTCTCCTTTTCTCCCTAAAGTTTCATAATTCAGAAATGTATGACCAACTCTAACAATAAAACAGCAGTTTGCTCTGTACCTCTTGATTCGTGGTATTCAGCTGATTAAATAACTCGTCTTTTCAAGTTCATAGACCAACTGATATTGGTGAGAGTTGTGACCCCAAATGCCTTTGAGGATCTGGGCCAAAGTGATGACTCTTCTCAACCTTTACTCCAAAGAAGCTCACAAAACATTTTAAAGAAAAATAATTTGAAAAAGTTACTGGAATCCATCTAATGTGCAGGTCCTCCTATTACCCATTGCTCAAGTCACCCTCTAGTGCCCTGATCCAGCAAGGTACTTATGCAAAAGGCATAGTGAATAGGACCACCCATATTCTTGAAACTGAGCATGCACTTAAGTGCTTTGATAGATCAGGGGTTAAATGGATGAAACAAAGGTACCTCTGACTCTATGTTCCAGAAATAGAGGATTGCATCCTAATGTACCAATGGCATTATTTGCCTTTAGTCATATATTTAAAGAAAAAGAGAGAGAGAGAGAGAGAGAGAAGAAAGGGCAGTACATTGATCGTTTGAAGGCAAAAACAGTGACAAGGGGACAAAATGCAGAAACACCTGAAGAATTTCAAAGTATTTTTCAATGCTAAATTTCCATGAAAGAAAATTCAGCCTCTCCCCTGGATTGCACCCTGCACTTTTGTCCACTGCACAAAGGCCTGAACTATACTTGCAATAAAAGAATTTCAGAAATGCAAACACTAAAAATGCACCAGCTAATTTTTTTCTTTTAAGTATCACTTCCCAGCTTCTCACCTGCTAGCTTTTGAAATGTGCCTGATATTAAATATATAATATCACACACATAGTTGTTCCAGTTAAGATAGCTCTATATACAAGTACATGGTCTGTAAGAGCTCATGCTCCATCCTTACTCCCATGTTTAGTAACAAGCATGGTAAGGACTCCAAGGTCTTTAAATAAAAAGGTTGTGCATACCAGACCTTTCCAGTTTATAAATAGCCCTTTAAGTTCATGAGGCAGAGGAGAAACCTTTTGTTGCACTTCTTTGAAATGTAACTGGGCACGAAAGGGATCTTTTCCTTTTTCTACTGTCAAAAGCACAAATAAAAAACCATCTTAAAGTTCAGCTCCTTCACTTTAAACATGGGATGCGCCACTGCAGACTTGGCTGATTCAATTTTCAGAACAGGCTTCTGCTAGTGAAAGACACAAACAGCCAAAATACTGTAGAAACAAGTAGATTTGCTGGCAATTTTTATTTCATCCATAATAAAACTACTTAATAATGATGAGGCAGATGGTTCTTATGAAAGCCATTTTCTATTGGGGTACAACACCACTCTAGTGTGTCTGGAAAGGTGTTAAAGAGAAGACACTTTCCCAGTGATTAGACATCACATACACTATTACAGATTTATTGCACCCTATTTGCTCTCTACATCTAGTACCACTTTTCAAATAAAAAACTGGCCAGGAAAACTAGGCTTATATTACCATGTTTAGTGAGCTATCCCAGACTTCTACATTAAGGGAACATTTTGTAGTCAGACATTAAAAAATGCCCTAGTTATAACCAGACTCTTTAAATACAGGTACCCTTTGGTTGTGTGCAGTTGCCTGCATTTTGCTACTGAACTTGCAGACATTAAATGCAGAGAAGACATAATCACAACTTCCTGCCTCTCCTGCACTCTGCATGGGTTCTTTTGACTATTTAAACTTACTTTGAGGGATCAGTAAAATGAGGAGGCAATTTTACCAACTGTCTCTCAGGAGTTGCAATATAATGTGAAGGTTTTTTTGGTGGTAGTGGGGACATAAAAGATTACATTCACTGTTGTATTTTTCCCCCTAAAACAGAACTATTCAATAACATTTTAACATCCCCCCCC